TTTAGTTTGCGTTGACATTGTTCGTGTATCCATTCGAAATATATGAAATCCTCTTCGAAGGAAACACGTGAAAAAACAGCTTTGCCACAATTTTTGGAGCATTCTGCTCAAAACCACCAAGCTGAGAAATGGCGACCGTTAAAAATAAGAATTACGTTACCAAAGTATACCTCGAGCAAATACCAACAAATTTAAGTGCAATTGTGGCCGTTTGTGGAAATTTTAGGGGCCCGAGTAAGTACCGGCGAATGCATAAACTTTATACAAATGTTTCATCCGCTCAGGCTCTGGCTTCAGATGAATTTAGGGTGCGCGCTCAAAGATTGCCCACCATGAGGAATTTGGCATGTTAACAAACGTCCGCAGTAATGAGCTTGCAGCAATAAGATAACCACGCAGCTTAAATTCCCTAAGGAATCTAGAGTGATCTTAACGTCAACAGTTGAACCAAAAAAATGTCATTCATAGCACGCCCTGTAGAAGCCTCAAACGGAATGAAAAGGCAAATAGTTCAGGAAAATGTTAACAAACGTCCGCAGTAATGAGCTTGCAGCAATAAGATAACCACGCAGCTTAAATTCCCTAAGGAATCTAGAGTGATCTTAACGTCAACAGTTGAACCAAAAAAATGTCATTCATAGCACGCCCTGTAGAAGCCTCAAACGGAATGAAAGGGCAAATAGTTCAGGAAACTCAACGATGTTCAATTCAGCGTTCCTGCTAACTCAACAACCGTGCAGTCCCTATCTCTCCCTGAATATCGTTCGTAGCCAGACCAATGCTGATCTTCCTGGCGAACTTGCAGCAACTGCGGATTCTGAAAGGTTTTTGTGGTCGATAAACCCAAGATCCCACCGGAAGTCATTGGAGCGTAAGCGAAATGGCGCTGGACTTTTCAACTGCCTTCCAGAAATTAAATGGACAGGGATTAACAGAAGGAACGCCGCGGTGGGCATTTTAAGACCAGGCTCTGGCTCGAGGTCATCTTTGTTCAAATCAACTCACAGGACTGAAGGCACCACACAAATAGGATTTACGTTACGGTTATGCAAAGCGATCACCTTTTAGGAGAAATAAGGATGCCTCAAAAACCTCTTAGATCAACGATCAGCCCAAAGCATTCGGAAACACATCTCATGTCATCATCCACGCTGTCCGTTAATCGAATCGGAAAGAAACGTCAATAGCAAAAGACATCAAAACTCGAATCCAAGCTGTTCCCGGGCGAACAGTCCACTCAAAGTGAGATATCCGGAGACAACGCACTTAAATTGAAGACAGGTCGAACTGACGGAATACCGCCAACCGTCTATGCTCCAGGCAAGGCTACGCCCTGATTGATCAGAATGTGAGCCAATCAGGAGCGAGACTTTGGCAGCAGCCTTCTCACCAGGCTATCGGAATCCCCCGTGGGGTCCCCTGTGGTCACACCATAAATACCGTCATGACAATCTTCTTTTGTATTCGTTGAAGGTTGCCTCAAGCTACTGTCCTTCTAATAAACTGCAGGAGGTGGAATAACTAACTGAACACCGACAAAGGGAGGCGATACCGTCCGCAGTACGCAACACGTGTTTGCGATCTTCCAGCATACTAAGCCAAAATAATCCCTAATAAACCCAAGGGATCTGTTTCTGTCACAGCTTATAATGCCTGTACCATCAAGTTGCGGAAGAAGCACCCAGTGCTGAAAACTTGCTTTCTATTGTGTCAATATGCTACAGCATATTAATATGCTCCAACTGGGGCATAAGGAGACAGCCGTCTCCTTACTAAAACTGTGCACCTTGATACAACTAGGATAGACGTCGGTGGTCCACATCTCAATTCTGGGTATCTGTTGCTTATGACGAAATTGATGGTCGTGTCTACGGCGTGGCGGTTGCAATCTGACCCAGGGATGAAATCACTTTACTATACTGAAGCGACGATTTGCAAGCTTAACCGCTGGTTACCAGTATAGGTCGTAACGTTGCTGTCATGTTGCGGTTGTAATTCGTGAAAAAACGTTTGGGAGCAGTTACAAGGCCGCACCTAAACTACCCAAAAACTTTTTCACAGTTATCTAACCGTGAAACTCATCAAGTGTTTTACTAACCCTCAGATAACAGAGTTAGGAAGAATTACGTTATGGCGCTGCTATTCTACGTCGTTGCAGCCGTAAAGTGCGGTCATATGGTGGTTATTTCACCATTATTGAACTTGAGAAGGCGTTTTAACGACAGTGATATAACCGCCCAATAACCGGAAAACACGGTTATTAAACCGTTCAATACCCGGTATGCGCGGTAATATGGCGGTTCTGATGCTGCAAATGACCACCTATAACCATAATAACCATAATGGGTGAAGATTTGGGACGAAGCGCGTTGACCACAATCACAATCTTCAGAAGGGCGAAATAATATCATACGAAACCACCTTGGCGTCAGCCAGAGTTCCGTCGCACCTAAGGCACCCTCGCATTATTTTGCACAGATTGGTCCAGTGCGAGGGGAGACAAACTCGTGAAAACTGAGCTGACATCCTCTGTGGCCGAGGATGCGTCGAAAATACCGTTATCTTGAAGCAAGTTCTTCAGCAGCGCCACTCTTTCAAAGGTTCCACGTTGGTCGTTTTTCTTTCTCCGGAAGCTGCTTTCGACTCAGTCGACCGTCAGGCGTTTTGTGACTGAAGGTGGCTCTTCAAAATTTGCCTCAAACTGTGCGAACTCCTGTGGACGAATACCTGTACACGGTATGTCTGAGTTCACTATTCCACTAGTGTACGACAAGGCTACCCTCTTTTTCCCTCTCTTTGACTTTGTCTTCAGTGTGTTCGGTTTGTGCCTGAAACCCCAAGTGTAGAAATTCTCCCGGAAAGTTCACTCATAGATACTGAGTATGTGCACGATATTACTCTTATTGGTTTGGATCCCTTAAAGATGTAAACCATTTTAAACAACCGCCGCACCGTGTGGCATGCGCTTCGTATCTTTATGTTGTAATTTGCTGCTGCAAGACTAGGTGGAACCAATGTCACACCTTATCCTTGCAGACGAGCCAGTCGAAGTGCTAGGTAAATTTACCTGGGCAGTTCTAATGAGATGGCCAGAGGCGAGATTACCTCTGGAATCGAAGAGGCCAAGGTAACTTGTGCTAACCTCCGTCACCTGTGGTACAGGTGTGACATCGGTTGCTTGTCAAACACTGATCTTACGCTGCGACGGTTTGATCCATACTGCTGCGTGGATCGGACGTATGGCCTCTACGCTCAAGTGACATACGAAAGTCGCCAGTGTTTGGTCACCGGTGCCTCCAAAGTGGTGGTATACTCTGGTGGAGACGTCGGATAAGCAATGCTAAAGTGCACCCAATGGTTTTATGTATAAGAATCTCTTCAACGATGAGGGATCGACTCACGCTTCATAGGTTATGCTGGTTAGGACATGTACTCCGCATGCTGGAGTACCACCTACTTCGCGGATCTATTTTTACCCAGTTCCTTGACTAACGGAAGGTGCCGAGCTGTAAATAGTTTATGACCCGTCAACGAAAGCACTGGCCAATATACTCAGGCCGGTTAACCAGTACCGCGTTCCTGGATGAGAATCTCGGGTCTAAACTCATCAGTTGTTAGTGACAACGGTAGACATAGCCCATTTACGTTGTCTGTGGCGCTCGTGCATCCAGGCTATTCCCTGTGGTGCGTGGCTAACCAATTTCCCATTCCATCGGGGGAACTTGTTGACATGCTGGTAAAGGTGATCGACTCAGATGGTAGTTCTCGGTTGAGGTTATGTCTATGAACGCCACTTCCAAGAAGGAATCTGGCATGGATATCGGACAAGAAAAAGACGGAAGGTGGAGAGTAACACTTAGCTGCAACATAGTATGGTATCCCCTGGAGATAGCTGATCTTCCGTTAGTAGTTTTGAGTTGACTTGGCTGTGTAGTATTTACTTCAGATTGATATTTAAGATATCTTAGTATTTTCCCTCCTTCGGCGAGATGGCCCAAGTGGTTAGAGCGCGAATTTACTGACCGGAAGGTCCGTGGTTCGAACCCAACCTCTGCCTCTCGACTTTCCCTGTCTAGGCTTGGGCAACCTGGCAGTATCCCAGCCCTCGTGCTTCCTTCGGGTGGCATGGCAGCTAGGCACCGAGGACGACAAGTGATGTGGTGACATTAGGGAGGTTTCACTTCACAGTTCCAGAGCCAGATTGGCTTTTACTTTGAAGCGCTCATGTCGCTGACAGGATTTTCACTTCTCTTTGGGAAACAGTTTACCGAAGCGCACCTAAGATGGTCTCACCATGTGACCGAGAGAAGTAGCCCCCATGTTTACGATATTTGTGAGCTCTTTTTTCTATACACAGTGTTTCCGAGTTGTTACATCTGAAACACTATCAGCCCCACAAATTGCAAACAGCTTTCTTTTTCCCTGCTTATTTGTTGTGTCTTCCCGACTTACGCACATGTCATCGTTTCTCTTAAGCAGTCAGAGGACATCACTTTTGGGAAGCCGCTTGACTGGGCATGATGACCCCTGAAGAGCCTATTTTGTGCATTAAACTATTTTATCTGGACTACTACTTCTCAAAACCACTTACTGATATTGACAACAGTTATTCTAATCTTCGCGGTTCATATGCTTCCAAATTGCCCGTCATACGCGTATATGGAACAACGCCATCTGGTACTCTGTTCTTCTTTCACTCTAACCATTTCATTCTGAAGGTCAAAAAGTTTGTGCCAACGTTCATGGATATCTTCCACACCTATTTGTTGAGTTACCGGAGCAAGTAGATAGTACATCGCCTCAATGTGACTTCTTTCGTGCATTTTGTACGAGTTTGGAGAAGGCTATTAGGTCAAGAACGAGGGACTTTGCAGCTGATGATATGCTAGTTTTCGGAGCAACACTTGTTCAGGGCCGGTTAGTTTCCTGGTTGTGCTCCTTATTAGTTGATTGGTAGTTCTATATATGGTTTCTGTCCTCGGGAAGGTGCCTTTTTAAAGGTTTATTTATTGGACCCCTCGTTGCTGATCCCCTGTGCCGAGGTGCTCGCCGGTGGTCATGTAATGGACCGACATTTTGAAGCCCTCGAAGTGCATGTTCCATTCTTACTGAAAGTACGTGTCGGTTGAAGCCTACATCTCCCAAAATCTGTCCTCAGTTTTGTGTGGATTACAATCTTTATGGTATGAACTACATGCGAGCAAAATACTTCCGTGCTCGAGGTGAGTCATGCGACATTTACAGCGAACGTTTCCTCAACACAGGTGACAAATCCGTTTCTGTGGATACAACCGTTTGTTCGTCGGTGGATGGGACCTATCTGTGTCATCCTGTTACACGTGTGGGGTAAGTAGCCCGACACCGGGTTTTGCATACTTCTAAAGTATATTTAGATGCCTCTTAACCAACTATCCTCACTATCCTGTCTGTTTTGGAGGGTAGATTACTAAGGATTGGTTTTAGGTGCCTCTAGGTTCTTGCAGAAAGATCGTGACAGATCGAGTGCACACAGCGTAAACTATGTTAGTCTGCAGGCAAGTCACTTAAACCTTTAGGTCGTTGTCCTACAACACTACGTCGGTTAGGCTATCGGGTGGGTGGTTTGTGTGGTAGATTGAGCTTCCAGTTTCCGAGCTCCCTCAGCTTTTTCGTTGGCTTGCGTGTTGGAGCAGGTGGGCCCAGTTACCGTGATGTTTTTAATTTATGCCCTTCAGAATAGCCACTCTCATTTGGCCGGAGCCTTGTGTTCGAACGACTTTAGCAGGGAAAGCTATAACCTTACCCGTCGATAGCCTCTTTTCGAGCGCTTACGATAGGTTGTATATGGCTTCTTTTATACCAAAATAGACTCCAATCTTCACCTGACGTAGGATTTTTTCCGTGAGTACCAAGCTTTGTGCCTCCCACAACAAGCTTCTTAAAAGAAAAGGTACGCATCCCTTGTGGTGCATGCACACGGATTGTCAACTTTTGACCTAACAGAGGGCGATTACGAAACCCTGCCTGCTGTCGGGGCGGCCCACCTTTCAGAAGGTCTTCCGCCTAATTTACCATATGCATGACGAATCGTTGCAAGGTATGTCTGTCATTCCATGTCAAACACGTCCTTTTCCGTTTCTACCCAGACTACCTGAATGAGTATCTGGGGATTTAGGCACTAGGACTAGATCCTAATCAAACAGCACTTAGTCCCATTTGATTCTGTGCCGCTACTGATTATTCCTGTCTAGGTGTGGGCGCCCTGGCAGTTTCCCAGCCCTCGTACAATCATAACATACACAACTAACACTACTCTATGGTTGTATGGCAGTGAAGCATCAGTGCCAACACTAACGTTGCTGTCTTTGATGATTGACAATGCAACTGATTATATTTGGCCTTTAGTCCCTCACGAGTGCTCGGAAAACCTGTCTACTTGTTCTGTTGTTTAGGCATTTCATTCACTTTTTAACTTCTAGCGACCAGCTACTACCCTCCAACGAAGCTCCCCGACACACTAGCACAGAAGTGGAGGTAGATATTTCTGTTCAGGACATTCTGAATCGGGATGAACTAGCCAGTAAGTTTTGCTCCGTCAGTTTTGTTTTCCCTTGGTTCATACTGTGCTCCCAGCTTTTCAAAGTTCCTTTTGCCGTGATTCATTCGACTCTCCCATTAAAACTAAGGTAGCTTTCGAGTGAGTGTATTTTGCGAATTGCGCATAGTTTGACTTTAAATGGAGTATAAGTCTAACAGAGACCCGGGGACTGCGCCTAGCTGAGGAGTCCCAAGAAGAGCGAATCCGGTCGTTGGCTGCTGAAGTTTCCGCAACCTTGCAATTATTGTGTTTCGTTCAGACAGGGTATTCATGTATCTCAACTGAAGCATGAGGCGACTACTGTAGTACATTGTGTTAAATAACATCAATAATGAGAGCTTCAGCTTGGCATCGGTTGATTTTGTCATTGGGAACAAATTAATTGCCAATGAGTGTATCCCGCAAACTCCCTCCAACGTCCTTATTTCTGGAAAAACGTATGTAGAGACTATGAGGACGAGGGTGGCAGTGGGATGGGGTCGGCTGCCAATTTCAAAGTGTAGTGTCCGGACGGAGGCAGTCGAAAGGATAGTTCACAAATTCATCTATTCAGCCACCGGGGATTCAGAATCAGAACTTCTTGCCCGTAGGAAATGCGTTTGTTCAGGGTAAACCAATCGGCTACCACCCGTTCAACTCGCGAGTGCGGTCAAGCATCTTACAAAACCTTTCGCGCCTCCGGTTGCAGATTATTGACAGAAACTTCCTGCACCGGCCAAATGCTATGCATCTGGAAAGTAGGGAATGTAAAATTTCGTTCAAGGGTTCCTTCTGCCGGAGCAACCTCTGAACCTATAGATATTTCTTTCTAATCTCTTGATATAGCATTCCGTCGTGACCCCATCCCATATCTGTTAAGATGTCACCTCACATTCACTAAGTCTACCCCCTTATTCTGTGATGCCGTTTTGGTGGTATTCAGCGTGACCTGTGTGTCTACTGACTCTTGTTTCTTCAGGTTGCTCCGGATTGAATCCTGGTTTGGAGGCTCTGTGGTCGGAGGAACGTGCTCGCCGCATCAGCAATCAGTTTGGTTCAGAACTTCCTGAGACTCCAACACCGGATGAACTTCTGCCTTTGACCAGTAAGTTGGGTTCGTTTTTAGGTTCCTGGTCGAAGGTTTTTGTACTTTCAGGAATGATTGCTGCCAGGCAGAAACTGTGAATTGGTCATCATACATCGCAATGCGTATGGAGCTAGGTTGAACATTTGTGTGGAAATGTAAGCCGCTACTTAGCTACGTACTTGAAATGACCGCTCCGCGGGAGGCTTATTGCTTGCTCGTAGTAGCAAACTCATGTTTTCACTTGGGCTACATAGTGCATTCTCGTGATGCACTTCCATAGTTTAGCGACAATCCAAACCCATACGTCTAAAGCACAAGACAGCCGTTGTATTGCACGGTTGCACGAAGTAATCCTAATTGTTCTGTAAGACCTCCTGAACGCTACCCTCACTATATCTTCAGCTCTTATTATTATTTTGAGATAGCTTATTTACGAACTGGAAAGCCTCATAAGAAACCGTCTGGTTGGAAAGACCGGTTGAGGCATATGTTGAATATGCTCTGACGCACCAAGAGCAAACTAGCTACAATCCTTCAGCGTGTAGTCTTACCAACTAATCAGCCAGATAACCGTCGAAATTCAGCTGGCGCCCTCCAATATACATTCCGGTAGTTGACGATCTATATGTATTTTGGCAGAAAAGTGGAGTAGCATATAAATAAGGCCATCCGAAGCCTAGTGATACCTTTTTCACACTCAAATTGGCAAACATCGTCAACAGCAACACCAGATGAGAACGCTCCACTGTCACGACGAGCTTGGATATTATCGCAGTGTGATGGTATGTGCATCTCCATAACCCACTGCATTGTGCTGAGGAGTGGAGATATGACACCTCGGAGTCACTCACTCCGGGTTCGTACGTGAATAGAGGTCTGACACACAGTCTCCTGGTCCTCAAGTTTGACGTTCGAACATGTTTGGCTACTTGCTCCTTTGGATATAAGCCACTATGACATCTGTGCCAACCACCTCTGTGTTGCGGCTAGGCTTTGATTGGCGTTCGAACATGTGTGGCGACTTGCTCCTTAAGATATGAGCTGCTTTGACATCCGTGTCAACCACCTCTGTGTTGCGGCTAGGCTTTTGAGAACTCCAGTCGTCCTCCTATCTATCTCTAGACGCCTCGGGTGTATCCCAGCCCACACACGGTCAACAATCGCAGAACGCAGTTTCGTCGTTGAAGATCTGTGTATTGACCTCAATTGTCAAACTGTTGTTTGGTGTAAGGCTGCTTCTTGGATAGGTAAAGTGCCCAAAAAAACTTTGATGGCTCTCTCTACGAAACGAAAGACATGTTCAGATTACTTCCTTCAACGGGACTTCCCGTGTAGACGACGAGAAGTACTTTTCAATGGGGGGAATAATTTTGGCGCACCTTCCTACAAGTGTTCCGGACATAAAACCAGTGACATCTGAGTATCTTAGGTTGATCAATTTCTCACAAACAACGATGTGAATCCTATACCTTTCTGCACCTATGTATTATTATTTCGTCCACTATCAAAACGGTGACAGTTAGCACCCTTGTCGAACAATTCCTCCTGTAGAAAAGCTTTTTGGAGTGTTCCCCTTCGGTTCTCATCAACTCAAATTTCAGAATGCAGACGTATTTTATTCACACTTTGGTCGGGGGGAAGGCTCTTGAGCAAGCATGTTTAGAAGAATCCGCCAGTCCACACCATCCAACACCGGTATTGTGGGCCGTCTGCTTCTGACGGTTTATGAAGGTGTGCCCCATCCAACCTCTACACGATTGAAATCCTGTCTTTTCCCATCGGGTCAATAATTTGTTTGCCGTCATAAAATGACGTACATTTGGCGGTGAAGCTCCCGTTATAAGAGTGTTTGGGCTATGGTTACAACCCAGTAAGATCAAAAGAACCAAACGGCAGGATTACTGTCATGACAGACTATGAGCTTAAGGTGGTTCAGTGGTTAAGGCGCAAACTTACTGGCCGAAAGTCCGTGGTTCCAACCCGACCTATGCCTCTCAGCTTCCCCGTCTAAGCTTCCTGACAGTATCCAAGCCCTCGTGCCTCCTTTGGGTGACCAGACGGCGAAAAGATGTTACAGCTGGACAGTTCTTTTCAGGGCAGACTCAGAGGGCTATCTAGAGTCGGTCTGTATGATTGCGGCTATATAATGTCACACTTGGCGCGGTGTGTCAAGTTAGAGGATTCCAGGTCTGAACAAAAAGAAGCAAAGAGTAAATGCTGTAATGCATGTTTTGCTTCGGCCTGATGTTAGCATTAGCTGCAAACTGAAATTAGGTCACCCCCTGTACTGGGTGGGGGGGATACCTAACACCTGTGCCACCGTTTTAAAGATGCTTTCAACAGAGCTTGTAAGATGGACTTGTTTGAACTGAACTCTCTTTCGGTGAATCAAAGTGACTTTTTTGCTTATATCTTCTTCATTTGGGTCCGCAGAAGATGGCAGTTTTCCAGTGTCTGCGAGGGAACGTGCTCTCCGGGATCGATGGACTCAACTGATCGCTCGACTTGGCGGTGAATCAGGTGAGGTTCACTTAAGTGTTAAGCCGTTTCACTGTGAATTACTTTGGACTCCACTACCGTTCAACGTTTCTCTACTGTTGGTAGTGCCAAAAGACTTACAATTTTCCGTGTAAGTTTTTCTTAAAAAGCTGAGAAGCACTGTACTGTTGCTTCATCCCTATTTGGAATAGTTTAGTTCGCCGGAACAAAATCATCCCAAAGGACAACAGTGTTCGACAGAGGCGATGTCACCTCTATTGGGAATGCATTCAAATTTCAGGGGGCGAAGACACTTGGGTAGAGCAGACGAGAAACTTCACACGGGAGGCGGAATCGGAGCATACAGCGACGTGTAGGCCATATTGACAATCTTTCCAAGCACCGCATCATTACTACATATCGTGTAGAGTTGTGATTTATCCCGTCATCACCATAACCATCACCGGACTACCGTATTTCGGCCTCATTTTCGCCATTGGTGCCATGCGAGTTAGCTACGGACCACCAGTTATCCAGCAGGCAAAGTTTACTAAAGTAAGCAGAGATAGGAAGAAAGAGTTGAATGAACTAGTTCTCAAGCGGATCAGGTTCGATCAAATCAGCAGCACGCGTGCCCTTTGGAGTCTTGCTACCTGCCATTCAACCCAGGGGTTGCACAGGATGGACAGGATCGGTCGAAACACGATGAGCCACGAACTTCCACCTTAACCCCTAAGCTCCGTTATTCTCTCGTCGTATTCTCTCACGTATCTCCAATGAGACCTGTGCTTCAGACTGGAATCGAGGTGATGTTTACACTGTTCCAAAATTTTCCTTGTTGCTTGCACTACTCGCACAATCCTACCCAACTTACTCACGGCATACATCGACAACCTTGCAGCTGAAATCTGTCGGTCGAGAACCGTTCGAGGGAATGTGTTCCTGGAATTTTTGGAATCACATAGGTACCAGAACAGAATAATATCCTCACGGTCTTTCCGAAATTTTCTGATAGACCTACTGTTGCCCCTGATTTCCGAGGTTCTCCGGGAGCCGCGCAATCAACGGAAACAAAAAACTTCAAACGACAAAATTATGTGAATCCCTCTCGTTTCACTGATCGGCCGAAAAGAGCAGTTTTTGAATCATGTATCACATTTAATGCATTCCGGTAGTTTACCATCTATATGTATTTTGGCCGAAAAGTGGAGTAGCATATAAATAAGTCCATCCGAAGCCTAGTGATACCTTTTTCACACTCAAATTGGCAAACATCGTCAACAGCAACGCCAGATGGAAACGCTCCACTGTCATGACGAGGTTGGATATTATCGCGGTGTGACGGTATGTGCATCTCCATAACCCACTGCATTGTGCTGAGGAGTGAAGATATGACACCTCGGAGTCACTCACTCCGGGTTCGTACGTGAATAGAGGTCTGACACACAGTCTCCTGGTCCTCAAGATTGGCGTTCGAACATGTGTGGCGACTTGCTCCTTAAGATATGAGCTGCTTTGACATCCGTGTCAACCACCTCTGTGTTGCGGCTAGGCTTTTGAGAACTCCAGTCGTCCCCCTATTTATCTTTAGATGCCTCGGGTGTATCCCAGCCCACACACGGTCAACAATCGCAGAACGCAGTTTCGTCGTTGAAGATCTGTGTATTGACCTCAATTGTCAAACTGTTGTTTGGTGTAAGGCTGCTTCTTGGATAGGTAAAGTGCCCAAAAAAACTTTGATGGCTCTCTCTAGGTTACGAAAGACATGTTCAGATTACTTCCTTCAACGGGACTTCCCGTGTAGACGACGAGAAGTACTTTTCAATGGGGGGAATAATTTTGGCGCACCTTCCTACAAGTGTTCCGGACATAAAACCAGTGACATCTGAGTATCTTAGGTTGATCAATTTCTCACAAACAACGATGTGAATCCTATACCTTTCTGCACCTATGTATTATTATTTCGTCCACTATCAAAACGGTGACAGTTAGCACCCTTGTCGAACAATTCCTCCTGTAGAAAAGCTTTTTGGAGTGTTCCCCTTCGGTTCTCATCAACTCAAATTTCAGAATGCAGACGTATTTTATTCACACTTTGGTCGGGGGGACGGCTCTTGAGCAAGCATGTTTAGAAGAATCCGCCAGTCCACACCATCCAACACCGGTATTGTGGGCCGTCTGCTTCTGACGGTTTATGAAGGTGTGCCCCATCCAACCTCTACACGATTGAAATCCTGTCTTTTCCCATCGGGTCAATAATTTGTTTGCCGTCACAAAATGACGTACATTTGACGGTTAAGCTCCCGTCATAAGAATGTTTGGGCTATGGTTACAACCCACTAAGATCAAAAGAACCAAACGGCAGGATTACTGTCAAGACAGATCGTGAGCTTGAGGTGGTTCAGTGGTTAAGGCGCAAACTTACTGGCCGAAAGTCCGTGGTTCCAATCCGACCTCTGCCTCTTAACTTCCCCTGTCTAAGCTTGGGCAACCTGACAGTATCCAAGCCCTCGTGCCTCCTTTGGGTGACCAGACGGCGAAAAGATGTTACAGCTGGACAGTTCTTTTCAGGGCAGACTCAGAGGGCTATCTAGAGTCGGTCTGTATGATTGCGGCTATATAATGTCACACTTGGCGCGGTGTGTCAAGTTAGAGGATTCCAGGTCTGAACAAAAAGAAGCAAAGAGTAAATGCTGTAATGCATGTTTTGCTTCGGCCTGATGTTAGCATTAGCTGCAAACTGAAATTAGGTCACCCCCTGTACTGGGTGGGGGGGATACCTAACACCTGTGCCACCGTTTTAAAGATGCTTTCAACAGAGCTTGTAAGATGGACTTGTTTGAACTGAACTCTCTTTCGGTGAATCAAAGTGACTTTTTTGCTTATATCTTCTTCATTTGGGTCCGCAGAAGATGGCAGTTTTCCAGTGTCTGCGAGGGAACGTGCTCTCCGGGATCGATGGACTCAACTGATCGCTCGACTTGGCGGTGAATCAGGTGAGGTTCACTTAAGTGTTAAGCCGTTTCACTGTGAATTACTTTGGACTCCACTACCGTTCAACGTTTCTCTACTGTTGGTAGTGCCAAAAGACTTACAATTTTCCGTGTAAGTTTTTCTTAAAAAGCTGAGAAGCACTGTACTGTTGCTTCATCCCTATTTGGAATAGTTTAGTTCGCCGGAACAAAATCATCCCAAAGGACATCAGTGTTCGACAGAGGCGATGTCACCTCTATTGGGAATGCATTCAAATTTCAGGGGGCGAAGACACTTGGGTAGAGCAGACGAGAAACTTCACACGGGAGGCGGAATCGGAGCATACAGCGACGTGTAGGCCATATTGACAATCTTTCCAAGCACCGCATCATTACTACATATCGTGTAGAGTTGTGATTTATCCCGTCATCACCATAACCATCACCGGACTACCGTATTTCGGCCTCATTTTCGCGTGCCATGCCATGCGAGTTAGCTACGGACCACCAGTTATCCAGCAGGCAAAGTTTACTAAAGTAAGCAGAGATAGGAAGAAAGAGTTGAATGAACTAGTTCTCAAGCGGATCAGGTTCGATCAAATCAGCAGCACGCGTGCCCTTTGGAGTCTTGCTACCTGCCATTCAACCCAGGGGTTGCACAGGATGGACAGGATCGGTCGAAACACGATGAGCCACGAACTTCCACCTTAACCCCTAAGCTCCGTTATTCTCTCGTCGTATTCTCTCACGTATCTCCAATGAGACCTGTGCTTCAGACTGGAATCGAGGTGATGTTTACACTGTTCCAAAATTTTCCTTGTTGCTTGCACTACTCGCACAATCCTACCCAACTTACTCACGGCATACATCGACAACCTTGCAGCTGAAATCTGTCGGTCGAGAACCGTTCGAGGGAATGTGTTCCTGGAATTTTTGGAATCACATAGGTACCAGAACAGAATAATATCCTCACGGTCTTTCCGAAATTTTCTGATAGACCTACTGTTGCCCCTGATTTCCGAGGTTCTCCGGGAGCCGCGCAATCAACGGAAACAAAAAACTTCAAACGACAAAATTATGTGAATCCCTCTCGTTTCACTGATCGGCCGAAAAGAGCAGTTTTTGAATCATGTATCACATTTATTCAACCTAAATCAGAAAGGTCACAATTCTTTTCAAAAGGTCTATCTCGTGTTGAATCCAGATTTATCAGTACGTCGATGTTGAAACTTCGGCATTAGCACACTTCTCTGAGCTAACTGACGGCTCATGATCACACCAAATCCAGATAAACCACTAGTGAAAGGAAGTCCTTCCGCTGCGGAGTTATTTATTAGGAAATGCCAACTGACCAGTTACAGACCATTGGACAGGGAAGCAAAACTCTAATGTGCATCGTATTTACAAAAACTGGACATCCATCTTCTCCTGAACGCGTCTTCTTGAACTTTCCTGGAGATTCATTGACTCCAATCATTCCTCGCTCAAAACCAAGCAATTGTTACAAGTGGCTCCACGAATTCCGCAACAGATCTCTCTTTTTCAAAAGACAAAGTGAAATTCCACGAACAAAACATACTACTCGCGTGCCTCCTCATCAGTAGTATCACCGTTTCACTAGTTAGGTGTCCAGTGGTCCAAGGTTAACGTTACTGAATGTGAACGACCCTATTTTGGGGAAAAATCAGCTTTGGCAACCCGTTCAAGCACTTTTTCCATAAGTGAACACTCGTTTTTTGGCAAACAGTATTTGTCGAATTACTAGATTCGTTACCAAGGGACCTGTTGTACATGGGTGTTCACAGTGTTCTCGACTAAACGGGTGTCTACCCTGCTGACTGCGACCGAGAAAGCTTCAGGAGCGTGCACCCTACCGTGAATCTTGTCACTATGATTTGGTCAGTTTTTGTCCGCCAACTTCATGATGTTATGATGTGTTTTTTCTAATAGAAGCAAGATGAATTGGCTTTTCACTTCGCATCATTTTTACCAAAGCGCACGTACGCCTCTCAGTTCCGAAGTTAGTAACCATTCTCACATGTGCATCACATCCTCATCGATTTCCTGTCAGGCAGCTTTGTTTGTTCCCCTTTCGTAGGTTGATACTTGACCGCACATGTCTGTAGTCAACAGTATGTTGTTGTCGGGTATGTGACCACAAGTGCGACATATGAACGAGGTCAGATACTCACAGCTACCTATTGTGTTCGGAGTTGTATTTACATCGAAACGTTTTGTTACTCCGCCAATTTGTCCATGCTTGGCAGCCAAAACACAGAGAAGAACTGTAAGTAGGTATTCACACATTTAGCGCCTGAATAGCGACTGGTTAGAAATCTTGAGTTTTTCTCTGATCACCGAAATGCCTTTTCAAATAGATCACCGGTTCACCGCATCCGTGTGGAGCGCAACTTCGTTTCTCCCCCATTGGAATGTCCACTGAAGGCGCTGCTCAAGCATTCTCATGGCTATCTAATGGTGGAAGTTTGTCTTTTGGGGGTCATGGAGTTCCTGATTTGTATGGCTTTAAGCTCCTCATCTGGTTCCAATATTTTCCCAGCTACTTTGTGGGTTTAAGTAGTATGGAAATACCCCGTTACATGGCGACGGTATTACAAAGCGGCGTGGAGATCGAAGTTTTGTACGAGTGACAAATGACAACGTCCGGGTGTTTCATGTTATCCGGGGAAGGCACGGGTTCACACGTAAGTTCGATGGAGAGGCGTGGCCTATTGCTCTTTCTCGTCAACAAGCTCTCATTTCAAAAGTTCACCGCCCTCTACTTCGCTATTCCATCTCTTTTTATACGTCTGTCTATGTTTTGGCACAAAGTTCCTTCGATATCCGACGACTTCATTGCCCGATGGCTGGGACAAAGCCACGATGAGGACGAAGAACTGGAGCCCACACAAACTTCAACATCATTGATGGAATTCAGCTCCGCGGCATCCGGGCAATCACGTGCGATACGTCTGAACTCTTCCTCAACGCAAGATGCAATTAGTACAATCAGCGTGGATGAATTAAAACGGATCGCTTCCGTTACCGAAGACGCAGATGCTTCACTCATGTTCCCTGACAAAGAACTCCCGTGGGGCTTTCTAAAGTGTTCGTCAGAATGGTCAGAGGCCGCGAGAAGCTCATTGCACGGTGGATCCAGTGTGTTTAGCCAACTGAGTGTTCGTTCCGTAAGTGCTTATCTCAACCTGCCGTCACAGCCTGTATCATTCGGACTAGATTTTCGGATGAAACTGGAACTTTGAATTAAGAAAATAACTATCTTGTTCATCAACCCCAATAAATAAGCACATGGTAGTTTAACTTCAGTTGTTAGCAGTCGGTGCACTCGCCACAACAGGTTGTACTAACCCTGGGGGTTTGTGTAGTCTACTCGAGTTTTCGTTTGCAATCGTTCTTGTCCCGTACTTGGTTGATCGAAAACAGTATCTACGGGAACATCGTTACAATTCGAAGAGACAACAGAACAGACAACAGAACCCTACTCGTGCACTAAGAATGCATGTAATCATTTAATCACGCATGTGAAACGATAAATCATCCGGGTGAATTATACGTACCATATTGTGGCCATGTTTGTCACACTGGAATTTCAATGGTCGTAGACCGTTACCTCAGTCAGCATCATTTAATCACGCATGTGAAACGATAAATCATCCAGGTGCATTATACGTACCATGTTGTGGCCATGTTTGCCACACTGGAATTCCGATGGTCGTAGACCGTTACCTCAGTCAGTCCTGCTTATTCGAACGTAACTAACATCCTTTGGCGATGTTCCAGTGGCTCTAAACTGCTCTACAATGAGAACCACTAAAGTACTGCAATTTACATTTGTCGGTGCTTCCCCCAAATCCTCAGCTTTCCAATTGGAACAGGGTTACCAGGGAGCAGTGCAAAGTTGCTTGCTGAGCCATTTTATCGGTCGAATGTAATCTGTTGTTCTGTTCGTACTGTAAACTTGGCTCAAAAAGGGAGCAGCCCTGTGGACCACCAGGGCCCCTAGAAGTGTTTGGGCATAATCCTGCTTGTCTCAACAAAGTCTGCGGGAAATACCGGATGGCCTTCTTTTTCGACAACACGGTACCAGTCTTACTGAGGAAAGCGTGGGGATCCAGTTGTGTTAATCGAGTCGTAAAACAGGCAGAGGTCGGGTTCGAACCACGGACCGTCCGGTCAGTAACTTCGGGCCCTAACTACTGAGTCATGTCGGCCCATCAGGTCTGTGTCCATTGCTGTCGACAAGACAGCCCAGGTATTCGTGTGTATTAGTAACCAGGGAACCTTGAAATCACCCACAATGACCGTAATCAGATTGACAAGTGGCATCACTAAGTGGAAGAGATTGCCTTTGAAGAAATGCCGCTGATCAGTTGATCTCAGCCGCTTTTCTAGCCTGCTATTTAGCATCTGACGTTTGATGTTGAAGATTGAATTCACATACGCACCATACTGATACCAAATAAATCGAAGGTTCTATTGCCTGCTCCGATCTTGGCTCCTTACATGAAATTCCTTCGGTTCGCACACTGGTTTCGCACCGAAATGTTGCCATAGCTGTGTTTAGATTGTATTAGTGCTTCATCAGTGTCGCACAGTAGTCAGCAATAAAGTAATATTAGAGGTCTAACGGTATTCGTGAGGTTGCTGAAAGTGTTCAACAGTTCACGACAAGTTTATCCACTCTTGGAGCTCATCAGGAAGGCGTGGTCCCCGAGTTTCTATCAACCCAATATTCTACTTAAAGGCAGGCGTTGACAGTAATATTGAGCTTCCCCCTGTCTAGTCTTGAGCAACCGGGCATTATCCCAGCCCTCGTGCTTCCTTCGGATGGCATGGCAGCTAAGCACCGAAAGGGTGTTACGGCTGAACGATTATTAGTATTATTATCGTTATTAATACTGGGCTTCTCCTGGAACAAGTAAAAGATTAGGATCTGTGAGTATAAGGAGTGTTGAGGTTTCCAAAGAGTGAGCCCCCCGGAACAGTGAATACTTTAATGCGACCTTGCAGAGGTACCAACCTAACGGTGCACTGAGGGTTTCCCGTCATATGATGCCGAAGCGTTTTGGCAAATTCGGCGAACAGATCAAGTGTCACCTGATCAGCGACCAGTAAACTAGCCCGAACTACCAATATTTAGACATATTACGAAATTACGGAACCCTCACGAACGCTCTAGCTAATTGCACTGAAATCGAGTACACGACTGAACATACACACCAAACGGTGGCTTTTTCACTCAGGCCTCCTAATCGTCATTTACCCGGTGGACGGCTGACTACGTGATTTCGGATCTCAGGTGACCGTGAACATACACACCAAACGGTGGCTTTTTCACTCAGGCCTCCTAATCGTCATTTACCCGGTGGACGGCTGACTACGTGATTTCGGATCTTCAGGTGACCGTGACAATCTTCTTGATTAGTAGTAGTAGTTTAGTTAGATAGGTCACGTTTCTCCGACAGCTCACTATCGGCCGAGTCCAGCTTGTGGCTCTTCACGTAGATTTGGCTTCCTGTGTTAGTCAAGCTTCAGGTAGCTCGGTGGCTGAGGACTAAACTTAATGACTGATTACACCTGTCTATATCCGGGCCAAGTTGCAGTATCTCGGAGCCTTAGGTTCCTTCCGGTTCCATGGCAGCTAGGCGCCAAAAGATTTTTTCAGTCATTCTTATCGTCTAGGCCAATGTTCATTAAGAGCACTAGTCATTTGCTTCCTCCACGAAGTTGGACCTCTGTCCATCACACCTACCACTATCGACTTCTGGCTTCTAACGCAGTCTCTACGGTCTTTTACGCTTACCACAAAGAAACAGTCTTTTTTTAAAATATCTGTTATTCTTAAGAAAACTCACCCGACTAGTGAGTGTCATGTGTTGACTTTACCTTCAGGTTACCAATTTAGCCATCCGGTTGAACATATCCTTTCTTCTTCTAGTGTTACTATAAGTTTGTTTGTTTCTAATCCTGTTTGCTTTCAGTCTCAAGAAGCGAGAGAGTTGGGCTCTTCTCACCGTAGCAAAATACCCTCAAATGAATCCGAAGATTTGGCCAATTCTCCGTTGTCTGTCAGCGATCGTGATACCCTCAGGATTGTTGACAGTCCACGTAGTGAACATTCCTTTCTCGATGGCGAAGGGGCAGAAGCCACTTTGCTATCTTGTGCAACGCGTTCTGCCATTCAGTACGTTTTGTCCCATGGATCCAACGGCGATGATTTCGTGTTGGAGCAGAATGACGCGGATACAATTAATCACCTGGTGGCAGCTAACGAGGAAGAGATCTGCGTTGCTGACGAAGTGATTCCTGATAGCAACGACTCAGGTGATGTACAGGTATGTTTTTACTTTGGAACTAGACGCCTCGAAGGACTTCCCGATAAATGTTTGCGTCTTGTGTTTACCCATAACTTACATATCTGTTTTTGCCCAAGGAATGCTGTGAAAGAGAGCAGCCTCTGAAGATTTTGCCACCCCCAAACTTTGGTAGTGGCACATGTTTGGAGCGTATTGAGGAATCCGGTGAAGAATTTCATCCTCCAGAAGATCCGGATGGTGAGCTATTCTTTAGTCCACTGTCTCCTTGGTCAGTTCACTCGGATGCTGGTGATGAACCAGTTCCAATACAGTCAGAACACTTGGTATTCAGTCTGTCTCAGTCGTTGTTCGATTCATCGGCGCTGGAAGAACACGAGGGACAGATGGAAGAATGTGTACAAAAGGCGCCAAAGGAGTAAGAGTTTCACAAGCCGTCTATGTGTTTTTTTATCATTCTCTTACATGCCTGTTTTATTTCAGTTGTTGACTATGAAGCCATTGGTTGTTTGTAGTCTCTGTCAACTGAACAAACTCACTCGTACTTTTTCATTTCCAAATCCCGAACGACATATAGACCCCGTATTTCACAGCTGGATGGCACGGAGGACGATAGTGAGTTTACTCAAGGTAAGTATTTGTCAGAGCGCTGAACTTCTCATATTCTGCTTCATACTGACTGCGTATGAGCTACACGCGGTGGATATCCAATGACTTGCTAGAGCGTTGTTTGTTACTTGAGACCACACTACATCAACAGCCTTGTCGTTAGCCCATTTGGTCACAATACATAATACGTCAAGCTTTGGGTAGTCTGTTTGATGACAAGATGTAATAAAACAGCTTCTGAATTCGGACTTCATTAGTCGGCAAATTTCTTTGTGGTTTTATTGGTCGTCTCATCCAACCCCCCCCCCTCTTCACTGGTTGTAGATGGTTAATTTTTCATCATTGTCTCGCACGGCCCTCACCACTCCAAACCCTAGGGTACTTCTGTTGCCTCTGAAACTATTACTGCTCAAGGTCGCCCAAATGGATTCTTCATATTGTTGCTTGTTGGAGATATTGTAGCCCCTTTCAAATAACATCTCCGTGGCATTATCGGACCACTGTTAATCGTCCAGCTGTTATACCCTTTCGGCGCGTACCTGCTGTGACATCCGAAGGAAGCACGAGGGCTGAGATACTGCCAGGACGCCCAATCCTAGACAGGAGCAGTCGAGATGCAGAGGTTGGGTTTGAACCACGGACCTTCCGGTCAATAAATTCGCGATTTAACCACTGAGTCATCTCAAGTTCATCAGAACACTAGGTATATTTTTAGCCTGTATGTATGCAGTAACGGTATTTTCCTCAGCCTAGTTATCGGTATGAACCTCCATTGCTAGCGATCCCGTCAAAAACAACAACCGCCCAAAACCAGGTCAAGAACACTGAAACAACGTGTTGTATATAAAGTGTATGTTGCGACAACACTGGACGCGCCATTGGTAACCGGCATTCGGCGAATATTGGGTCATGTTTGGCTCTTGAATCCAAGCTTTCGACCAATCAGAGCTCGCCTTGATGCTGGACTGGCGAGCGACCCGAACTTTTGCCGGGATAGGCCGTAGCAGCGCCTAAATGCGAGCTGTATCTAGGTGAATTTCCGTGTAGCAGTGTAGTGATCGCTTGTCTTTCATTTCAGCTTATTCGCCCTCACCTCTTGCTCATTCTTCTTTCGAAACCACATCCAAGGCCACGTCGGACCTGAGCGAGGTCGACGACGGAGGTTGGGTATGAGACTTACGACAAGTCGAACCAACATCCGTCCATCAAAGGTGTCTGGATCAGAGCTCAGCTTGGTCAGTCCTCCCACGGCAATACATCAAGGGAGTACGGAGGCACGACCATCATCCCCAGGAACTGATGCATCCAACTTTGACCACACTGCCTCAAATACCTCTGTTCATGAGTTACCCGCTGCTAAGCAGGCAGATGATGCCTTGGCACAATTTACTCCAAGGCCTGTAGATAAAGTACGTTCTTATCCTAGCGTTTTGTATAAAGTTAACTGGGCAAAACTATTGCTGTCAGTTGCTCTCACTACCTTTCTGCGTTATTGCACTTGGCACATCCGTTCTCTTACAGAACACAGCCTGAGAGGTACTTCAGTGCTCTGTGTATTTTGTTGGTGGTGATGAATGTTGTCTAAACTCGAGCACACAAGTAACATTTTCACTTTGTTTTCAACGCATCGGTTTCAAAAGACGGCCTCCTGTCCTGATATGTTTGTTCGACTTAGTCCACACTAAAATGAGATGGCTCAGTGGTTCAGGCGCGAACTCACTGACCGGAAGGTCTTTCTTTTGAACCTCAAACTCTGCATTTCGACCGCTTTCGTCTAGACTTAAGCAACCCGTCAGTATTTTGACCCTCGCTCTTCTTTCGAGTGGCATAGCAACTAGGCAACGAAAGGGTGTTTGAGCTTAATCATTTTTAAAAGTGGGCAGCACTGACTTCGAGTTTCGCTCGTCAGCAGTGCTTATTGTCGGGCGTATCGAGGTTTGAATTCCTGCCGTTGGGTATGTGATGCAAACATGGCGACTGATGTTAGTTTTACGCACGACTTTCATCCTCTGTGGTTCGCATGAGTATTTAGTCCCGAACTATGTTTCTCCCAGTATGGGCAGTTTTGTTCAGACGTTTTGTTCACAGGACGTGGTAGTGTCAAGCTCTCATCCTAACAAAGAACCCGGTACAAATGGTAACAGCGCAAACTCACATAGTGCACGGCTAACAAATTCGAAGAATCAGTAATGCAACGTCTGCCTCCTTTGAGATATTGCAGTGTATTTTCACAATGGAAACTACTCACAACGTTTCTGAGGACTTTTTGACATAAAGGTCAATTCATCTGAAGCACCATCATCACAATCAAGATTTCGATCCGCAAATCATGCCAGTCGATGCCAAAAAGCTGTTAAGTGTTGTTACCTCCTCACTGAAAATCATCAGCTGACAGTCGCCTGAAGCATACGACTGAAAATGGGTGAAAAGCAGTGTGATTAACTCGCACTCAAACAGGGCAGAGTCCCACTCATTTCTCAGTCATGGGATCCTTATCAGGTAGTTTGATTGTGACTAGCCCCTAGAGTAACGGCTTCTCAGGTGTAAGGCGAATGAACCACACCGCGAAATGCCGTTCCTGACTGGACCGTTTAGTCATCTGACCGGGAGACCTCGGCCTCGAATATCCTTGAAGGTTCGTATGATGCGGCACAAATGACTCCCAATAAACAGACATACCGTGCTTCTAGACTTCTCAGAATCAGTCGACTTCACTTGCAGGACGAAATCTTGATTGAACAGTTCTCAATTCTGCTCACACTGTCAACACAGTCTTCACCATTTTTTCTACTATCTTTCAGTACATGACTGGTTTAGAATAGAGGCTTACCGGTGTTAGTTTATTGAATTTCATACTTTGATCTGACTGACTGAAATAGTTTGTACATCATGTCGTGCAACGATTTCTCTAAATTTGATAAAACCGCTTTTTAGACCCCCGCTTTTTGACCGCTTTTTCATCATTGTCAAATTGGTGCACTCGAGAAAACAAGCTAATTTGTAGCATCTCTATTTATCTTCCAGTTAAATATTTCTCCTGTGGTCCTTATGGAGAAGCTGGATCCAGCGCTCCTCCATTCACCTCAATCCGAGCCCTTCTCAAATCTCCGTCTGTCTCCCCGAGATGAATTTGAAGATCTTATTGTTCCCATATCCCCAATCAATCAGATAGAAATCACGCATGTTCCCAGTGGCATCCAATCGTTCCATCCTCTCGACGATGCACTCTCGTCTCAAGTCACGACCCTAGATGAACCGCTTTCTTTCAACGGAACGCCGGGTCACTTGACTCTGTACTCGCAAACTCAGTACTCTCCAACACCAGGATCATCATCATTCCCTACTCCCCAGATGGAGGTGGATCCTCTACCTGTCCCGGTGCCTACCTATCCTGAAACTTCTTTATGGCGTCCTTCCATCCCACCTCCTTCTGTCAGTAGCGTTAACCGATGGTTGCAGAAGTGTTCCACGCCTACTCGACCAGCCTCCTCAGATATTTCACCTGTACGTCATGAAAATTCACCCAACAGCAGTACAGATTCGGAAATCATCCTGGATATTACGACCAACCCAAATCCTCAGGAAGGGGTAAGAATGAGGATTCTGATCCGTTCCACGATTCTGCCTTGTCTAAAACTTACTGGATTGCAGACGCATCCCGGTTGAAGCTTCTCTGTAGTTTCAGTGAGGATTGTCTGAAAGGCTTCACCAGCGTATGGGGACATATGCTATCCCACGAGTGTCATAAGCCTCTGCCGTTTTAGAAGTTAAGGGTGGATCGTTGGTTTTAAAAAATTTTCCGCTTTTTGGCGCGTAATCATCTTGAAGCACCGTACAGCACACTAGCATCCCCAACAGACTTCTGGCGAGGTGGCACCCTAGACTTAGGTGTTTCGCTGCAACACCGGGTGTTCTACCCATCCAGTCAAGACAGGTCAAGAACATCTCCATGCAAGTTGAGTTTTCAGCGTAAAAACTCGTAATGACTATACCAGAGTGGGTGTATAATCGGCAAACAGGTAAAAGCGCGGTTCAGACTAAGTAAGCTAGACAAGAAAGCGTGATAGGTGCGCATCATGCAATGAATCGTGGTTGACATGTGAGGAACCACAGAATTTCGTGTGTGTGGTTGCTCTCGCAGGTAGATGGTCGTACTTTCATGGTGTGCAGGAAGTTGGTATAGCCTGCGCGAACGGTGTTTGTCAGCCAACAATATCTTTCACGATGGTATTTAGAGCGTCAAAGCGTCTACTGACCGTAAAGCCGACTAAACACTCGTGAAGATTCCTCTGCACTCAGAAACTTATTCAAGTGACCTAACTTTCTGCAAATGATTTTGGTATATGACAGGAGAACAGTAAATTCAGTGGGAAGAACACTTGCAGTGCCAAATTTGTGAATAATATCCCAAGGAACGCTCGCCTCTTCAATGCCTGTTCAATCATGTTTCGAATGAAGTTATTTCAAAGACAGCTTGGGCATTGCGAGTCGGAGATGCACGTTGCAAGTGGGCTGAACAAGCTTTCTTAAATTATATTGCACAAGAATTACCTTTTGCAAAATTAAACACTTGAAATGGGTCACAGTGAATGTCTTGGTAGTAATTCTTGGTAATGACGGTTTCCCATAAAACACCGTGCGATATATCTTCCCAGCGGTTATCTGTTGTTATCGTGAACCAACAAATTATTCTACATGAGGAAGTCAATAGACGAATCACAATAGTCCACGCCAGAGAGAGTGCCGTTTTGTGGCCACATTTGTATGAGACCGAATCCATGGGCCGGTCGGCAATGCTTTGCAGGCGGTAGAATTCTATCGGTAGCTGGTGGTCATCAATCAATTGTTTGTGAGTAATCTCCACCGATTGGGTCAATCAACCATCATCAGAGACAGCAACATCAGTGTTGGCACTGCTGCTTCACTACCGTCAACCGGACTCATTTTATCCGTTCTCCTTCTCCTCAAGTGTAACACTGCCGCTTGTCTAGAGCTCCTCCTGAGGGGTTTCCCAGTCATCTACCGCAGGCGTGGAGCTTTTTTGTCTTGTCGGTTGTTTCTTGCTATCACAGGAGAACTTTTTGACTGGCCTTGAGTGTGGGACACGTGCATCGGTCCGTTACAATTGGAATACTCTTGATCGCACACAGAAAAAAGCTGTTTGAAACACTCAACTAGGACTAAGTTCCCATGAGTCGCTCCAAGTGACACGTCTTTCAACGATAAGTCACCCTCATTGAAGGTGCTCTTCCTGCAGAAGTGCACCGCATCGTCGTGTATAACTTTGTTCCTAGCCCGCTGGCTGTCAGATATTTTGTCTGCAATGTGCTTGCTTAGCAACATACGAAAAAACTGCCGATAACCCCCCTACCCAATGCAGTTTAACTTGTCAGCAAAACGCTGCTATAATATCTTCAGTTTCACTGAATTTTCCTGTAGTACCACCATAACTGTCCATAGAAATGTTCTGAGGGGGGGCGAGTTGTGTTTCAGTGGTTAGAGCGCGAATTTACTGACCCGAATGTCCGTGGTTCGAACCTGACCTCTGCATCTCGACTTCCCTAGTTTAGGCTTGGACAGTATGGCAGTATCCCAGCCTTCGTGCTTCCTTCGGGTGGCATGGCAGCTTGGCATCGAAAGGGTGTTACAGCTGAACAGACATTAGACAGACAGGATTATTCTGAAGCTTGTCGGCTTTGGCGACAGATGGATATCTTCACCTTGAATGTCACATTGACCCGTTACATTAAGTGGTGTAAGCTGGGTATTATAAAATCTGATCGGAAACTCGTGCTTTGTTTCTCTCTCACGTACTTGTGTACACTCCCAGCAAGGCCGACGTGCTTGAAAATCCTCTTTCGTGCAATGACTGGTCATGAACCAATTAGAGACATACTGTCAAACGAAGTGCTGTTCACTTTCAGCCTCGATTCTTTTTCAACAGTGAATGGATCCATCGAAGTCTATTCTGCTGTATCTTGTTTGTTAGACTGGCTTGCTTGTCAAAAACTGGTCTGATTCAATGAATGTATTGCCATTGGGTGATGAGGTTGGTAAACTAATTTAATACTGCTCACTTCGCATCCCCTTTTGCTAGGTGACATGTGTTAACTCGGCTAGTCAAGACGACCTAGTCTCGCCTGGTCAGCTGTCAAACTCGACACAGCCGAATGACATCAGTTTAACAGCACGTCGTTCCTCGGTCACCTCTGTCAGTATGATGTACCAAGCAGCAAGTCAGCGCTGTTTTCTCCCAGTACAAGTAAGTCTCATACACGTCCTCTTCCTCTGTAATCTGTTCGATTTAGCCATCTCGTCCTTGTAAACTTTCAACTGGTTGGGATTTCCAGTTTTAACGTAATGCGTTGCTTTGTGAAAGGACTCCTCAGAAGTCCTAATGTCGTTTTCGGCTAACGGCGTCTGGGCTGTTGATGGTTTGACTCTGCATAACATTGATTTGTGGATCCCGGTAAGACTACTCACAACTACAAATGGTGAGGTTCCTAGGTGATCAATGCGGTAGTGCCCTGTGTCGTGTTCGAAGCTGGGACACATTACCCCATGTGTTTATCTAGGCCCCACTCTTACTTTCCGTCAAAAGTTCCCGCTTTGAATATCGCTTCTCTGTCTCCTACCAACACTCTAGACGGATCACACGACTGTAGCTAGCTTGGAACTTCACTGTCGCTCTCGTTTGGTCAGCGCCCGAGGTCGGTCGAACACGGTGGACAGCTCACAAAACAGCGCGCGTTCCCAAACCAAAGCTTCGATGTGCCGTGGTCTACTGCCCAATGCCAAACTCGATCCGATCATTTTGGCTTGTCTCACATTTCGCGTACCCTCTAACTCACGCGAGAAATCCTCCCATTCACGTAAAAATTTGTTTGTGCTGGTCAACACAACCGAAATGCCCAAACTAGACACGACCAACCTGAGTCCCTCCAAATGGCCCGGTCCGTTTCGTCTTGCGCTTTCCTCCTATTTGGATGGACAATCGTTGACCAAGGATGCTGCAAACTCGTCGGCATCCAAAGCCGCCTCACGCACCCTGCGGACACGCTTTGTTTGGTGTGAGAGTGAATGGAATCTATTCAGTTGGGTTGTTTATCTCTTACAATGGTATGTGCATTACCCGAAACCGGATGTGTATGGAATGTTTTTTTTTATATATATAAACCGCTGCGGTTTATTACTTTCCTTCAAAAAACTATGTACTGTACCCGAAGGTGGTTTCAAATGTTCCGCTGCACAGTGAAACTCCCCATGAAGGGATCGGTTAATCTGGGGGCAACTACTTTTTGAGAACATGTGTGGAGTCTTTTTTCTGGGGGTTTATTGATGAAGATTTTGTTGGAGTCAAAAACACTCCCCTAGGCCGGGAAATTTAGGCTAAATCCAGTCCCACGAAGCCGGGGGATATGGCTGCTAATCAGTTTCTATGCAGATTGCCTGAATAAGTGTATGAAGGTATAGGTACCTCGGAACTATTGTAGTAGGCCAGCACGAAGTCCCCTTCTTGTTCACCTTCATTCTTTTCTTCACAATAAGTCTTTCAAATGAAATCATGGTTGTACTGCCATGCTGTCGATGATGATGACCTCAAGTTTATTTTGTTGTCCGCTATTCCAAGCCTAAACTGTACACTGTCCTGCGCATTTTCGCGGGCCTATTCAGCTACTTCTCTCGTCTAGGCTTGGATAGTCTGACAGTATAAAAAAAATCGTTCAGCTGAACACCCTTCGACTTCCCTGAAGATATTTTCAGGGAAATCAGTAATTCTGTAATTTTGAGGACAAGATGGCTCAAGCGGTTAGAGCGCGAATTTACTGACCGGAAGGTCCGTGGTTCGAGCCCAACCTCTGCCTTTCGATTTCCCCTGTCTGGTCTTGGGCAACCTTGAAGTATCCCAACCCTTGTGCTTACTTTGGGTAGCATTGCAGCTAGGTATCGGAAGGATGTTGCAGCCAAACGATTATCTTTTATTATATTCAACTTTAAGCCATTTTTGGGACATGATGTATGAAATAAAAGTGTCTGATGGTAACACAGCAAGCCTATATAATATGATAAAATCAGTGTTAGTACAGACAGCAAACTGAAAGCACCACAAAATGAAGAGTCTGGGGGCTTTGTTGTTGTAAAACGCATGCACTTTTTGCGTTTTTTTTTTGTTTTTTTACGTTACGGTTCACGTTGAAAATACCGTTCACGTCATTGAATTCGGGTTCCGATCAAGACCTGCAGTCAATGTATGTAGCCAACCACACCCCGAATTTCGCGGCGAACTAGACCAGCGGAGGTTAAGCTCACCCCCTCTTCCAACTAGAACCAGCTCCTTGGAACAAATTACAGGATGAGTTTAGTTTACCGGGTATTCGGATAACATATTCAAGCCGTCTGATTAGGCGGACTGTTATCATTCACCCAATGCCCGATGGCGGACTTTGTTGTCCTCGGACACTTTATAGTCGGGGGTGAGGTTTCGCAGCCTTACGGTAATGCGGCTCAGATTGCAACGTTGTATACCGGACGGCCACTGCGTCGATGCTAAAGGTTTTTTTAACTCGGCGAAAATCATCCTGCTTTCGCTATCCCTTCTTGTTCAGTGGTGCTTTCCCAGACGGTAGTGTGAGCTCCTTGTCACCCGTTTAGGCTTGGGCCTATCGATTTTACTCAATCCCCGCAATTTCTTCGGGTTACGTGACTGTCGCTGGTGTGTGCCACATCTGGACAGTTTAATGATTTTTTTTATCAAATACGCCATGATGGTGTCAGTGTTTTGTACACGTCACTTCTGAAAAGTGGGCATTGTTTACAAGCTTTAAAGTTATTGTGCTACATTTTCACATGTCCGATAAACGCCAGAGACAAATTAACTCGGATCATGAACGTTCTCTTTGTGCCTTCGTGTACACAGTTGGGCATCCAGAGAACCTCTGACGTGCCTGGATTAATTCGTTTACTTCGGTTTGCAAGCTTTGATCTTAGGCAGCTCAGGGTATACAATTCACCTTCCCTGGTCACTTTCTTATTCATTTTATATCAGTAGCAGAAGCGGTCAATACTGCTTTGTGTCTGTTTCAATTGTACCACATTGTTGATGGCCGCCATGTCGAATGGTACTTCATCTGATATATCTTCCGTTTCTACTCAAGGTGTTCTTGGGGTTCCAGTAATCGGACTGGTGGATTTATTTGCTCATTTCACTTAGTTGATCCGATTAGTGTTCGCCATCCATAACTCAAACTCCTTGTGTAACTTCTCGTCAGCCGTTCTATTCCAACGTGTATTCTCAGATTAGTGTTCGCCATCCATAACTCAAAGTCCTTGTGTAACTTGCCTACAACCGTTCTATTCCAACATGTATTTTCTTCTCAGGTACGATCCTGATCTTTTGATTGGCTACGACGTTGAGCGCTACTCGTGGGGTTACCTAGTACAACGGGCATCGTATCTGAATCGTCACCACTACCCTCGTGAATTGTCTCGTCTTGCTCCGGTATGACTTTGGGTATGACTTGAATTTTTTTTACTTTTTTCTTTGTTACTGACCTTCGTCTGCTGCCATTGTTTCTCTTCACAACTCTTACTGAAAAGCTGGGGACAAGATTATAACTACATGCATACCCTAAATGCTCTGTCGCACACCTTCCTACATCCTAATCGTTTTAGTTAGTTCTGGCTCGCACCGTTACTATCCAACAAGCCATATTTTAATTTGTGCCATAGCTACGTTTGGGTTTACAGTAAAAGTGCGATCAGACCGCTAAAAGTTCGACCACACGAGCGACTTCGGGACTGGTCAACGGTTTTGTGCTGTTACTGTTAGGACAAATTCATGAGATTTCATTTCAAATGTCTTGGTCCGACCACACATCGATGTTTTCAGGCAATTCTCTAGCTACTGGCGAATCGTTAAGAACGACACTTAAAACCAAAGAAACGTAGTCTTTGATGTTTGGAAGACTTGTTAAACAATAGATGTAATGACTGGGCTTCATCCACAGGAGTGCTAATTTGCCTGTGTTCACGAAACCTAGCCCTAATCTGTCAGCGATACAATCATGTTTCAATTCTGTAGGTTAGAGCCTGTCAGTTGGCGTGAGTGTACGATTGTCAACTTTTAAAGCCTCTCTGTTTTGGCCATTGTATTTTGCACTCAATCTCACGGTCATCGAAGGTGCACTTGCCGGTCCAAGCATTTCCGCAACCATGTTCTACCCTACCAACTCAGTTATCATGCTCTGAATTTTTTTACACGCACACGGACAGACTGATAACTCGTAAGGGCCTTTGCATGTAATGTTTCCACTTAAACTCTTCCGCTAACTGCGCGAGCCGACACCTGAGAGTAAAGACACGTCCAAGTTCCCTTGACTTATTTGGGTAGAACAGAAAAGCATATCGCGGCATGCAAGCATATCGAATAACGTTATGCTGAGTTTCCCAGTGTTTCTTATCCATATTTACCTGCTGACAATCATTCGGTTACGGTTAGTGATCCAACGCCACACGTACAGACGGCCCACAATCCTGGTATTCCTTGACTTCAAGGATGTGTTTGATTCCGTCGGTCGATCAGTGCTGTTAACTTCACTTGCTCAACAGGGTATGTATTAGCTCTGACGGAAGTGTGTCTGATGAAGTCAGTGCAAGAATCTCCAAAGCTCGAATCACGTTTGCTTATTTGCGTCACTTGTGGCGTCAAAAAGGCATCTCACTGGATCTTAAGGGTCGTGTGTACCAGGCTACAGTAAGGGCTGCGTTGTTGTATGGGTGTGAGACATGGCCTCTGCGGGTAGAGGATGTGAGGCGTCTTCAGGTTTTCGGCCACCGATGCCTCAGAAGCGTAGCTGGTTGTTAATGGCGTCAGCGTGTCAGTAACGAGGCGATTAGAAAACGGGTATTTGGTTGTGCTGCAGACACCTCAATCCGGGAAAACATCCAGTATCATCGACTGCGATGGCTCGGTCATGTGCTACGCATGCCGAAACACCGTCTACCGAGACGAGTGTTGTTCTCCGTGCCTCCTTCAGAATGTCGTAAATCGCGAGGTGGATAGTGCAAGACTTCGCAGAAAGGCGTGAAAGAGATCACGAAGAGTTTGGGTGTTGTTGGTTTTCCAGGATGGGGTCCCCGTTGCCCCACCTGTGCTTGGCTGGAGACGTTACAAGAAATGGCGGTTGATGGATATCGGTTGCGTTAGCGCTGTCATTTTCTTTCCAGATTGTTTGATTGAGCGTTTGAAGAGTTAGGCACCTTATAATGCTTGAAATAGACCAGCACTAAGTCCCCTGCCCACCTACTTTTAGTATGCCCATCGTGGCGTCAGCGTGTCAGTAACGAGGCGATTAGAAAACGGGTATTTGGTTGTGCTGCAGACACCTCAATCCGGGAAAACATCCAGTATCATCGACTGCGATGGCTCGGTCATGTGCTACGCATGCCGAAACACCGTCTACCGAGACGAGTGTTGTTCTCCGTGCCTCCTTCAGAATGTCGTAAATCGCGAGGTGGATAGTGCAAGACTTCGCAGAAAGGCGTGAAAGAGATCACGAAGAGTTTGGGTGTTGTTGGTTTTCCAGGATGGGGTCCCCGTTGCCCCACCTGTGCTTGGCTGGAGACGTTACAAGAAATGGCGGTTGATGGATATCGGTTGCGTTAGCGTTGTCATTTTCTTTCCAGATTGTTTGATTGAGCGTTTGAAGAGTTAGGCACCTTATAATGCTTGAAATAGACCAGCACTAAGTCCCCTGCCCACCTACTTTTAGTGATGCCCATCGTGTTGTAGTTACCTTGTAAGAAGGCGTCCCCTTCCCAAAGCAAAGGTCTTGAAGATATTCCCTCTTGCGTATGCGAATGTACGATTTACACGTAGTGCATGAAAAGAAGACTGATACACTCCGTTCAGCTTTTGGATGGACGCGTTCTTCGGTGTTGCGCTCCTTGGAGTACGGTAAATAGAGCAATTTGCTATTGAGGAAAGTGTTGGTAGCTTAGGTAGAGTAGGCTGGACAATTTGACTGCATACGTTTCGCAACCGATCGAGGTGACAACATCAGTGTGTTGTTAGGGATAGTAGCAATGGGTCTGTGGTTGTGCGTTGATTAGTGACGCGTATGTGTTGATATACGTGCCGCTAGCAGTGATTGGTTGTTCAGTTGGGCGGTTCCATTGATTGGTCTGTTATCATATGTTTTCATTGATGGATGACCATGTGGCTTTTGAACTTGGTCTCTTCCGCTCTCATATTCTGATCGGTGCTGGAGTGACCTCTGTCCTTGACCTCTCCGGGTTCTAGTTCGTGCACTTTGTTGATCTGACCCTTCGGTGCTCCTTCTTTCTTGGTTTTTTAACCCGATTTCCGGCCCTCTTTGAGCATCCCGATTGAGAAATCGGTACTTTGCACACAGTGGTGGGATTTGGATCAGTGCGTCGGCTGATCGAACCCGTCGTGGACTATCATGCTCCCAAAAATTCCCGTACATGTGTCATGTCTCCAAATGCCAGGATTTTTGGGGTTTTCAGATTGCTTATGTGACCTGCTTGGTCTTAATGTATGGATATCAAAGATAGAGAGTCTTGTGTCCTGAAGATCGCGTTGTCTTCTTTTATTCGTGTGCATAATTTCCTCCCAATCGCTCCACAAACCTATGCTGCTCTACTGAAACGGATCTCAGGATCGAACTACAAACAAGAGGAACAATCTGATATGCTCAATTAACTGATGCGTGTTTCACTTTGGTGCGCTCCTTGGGGTATAATAAATAGCGTAGTTCCTTTTAAGAGGAGCTCGAGATAACCCAGTGGTGTAGACGCGAACTCACAGCCCCAAATGTCCGTCGTTCGAACCCGACTCCGCCATCTGGATTGCTCCTGTCTAGACTTGGGCAACCCGATAGTATCTCGGCTCCCGTACTTCCTTCGAGTAGCATGGCAGCTAGGCACCGAAAGGGCGTTACAGCTGAAATGTGGTTATTGTGGGGGCATGCAACGGCGTCCCTCGTTACACACAACCCAGCGTACGTCAACGTCGAATGATGGCATTGTCGTTGCTGAATGATGTTATCTTGATTCCAGTGACTTTGCGGGGAAAATAGTGTTGGAGTCCTTCCACGCGCTCGCGACAGACAATTTCATTAGCACGTACTAGTCTAATTTGGTACCCTTTTTAAGTCAGGAACAGCATGTTTGTGGGTGATACAAACCGGAAGAGTATGAGCCGTATAATGAACAAAGACATGTATAAGGAATGTTACCATCCGTTTGAGGTGTCTCGTGACTGCGCTGATTGTGGTGGTGATGCCTGTTGGACATCGACGGTGAAGTCTCTAGGTTTTCTTGATGTGTATCAGTTATTTGAGGGCGAGATGTCTCAAGTGGTTAGAGCGTGAATTTACTGACCGGAAGGTCCGTGGTTCGAACCCGACCTCTGCTTCTCGACTTCCCCTGCCTAGGCTTGGGCGACCTGGCAGTATCCCAGCCCTCGTGCCTCCTTCGTGTAGCATGGCAGCTAGGCACCGGAAGGGTGTTACAGCTGAACGATTTTTTTTAACGATCAGTTATTTGCGCAGTATCAATTTCGTGGTCTCTTCGTAACGCAGCTTACACACAAGGTTTGCGTTCAGCAAGATATATGCGGCAATACCCCCCTGCAGAGTCCATAACGGAGCCACCTGTCATCCATCGTTAGATCAGGATTGCTTTTGGACCGTAACCCCCATACGAAAGACTTGATTTTTTTTCGTCACGGCTTCGGAAACCTGTTTGGGTTGGTGGCTGCCAGGCATTTCTGCAATGGAGGTTGAATTGGTGCTGCAACTCACAGCCTCCAGCTTCTTTTCTTACTTCCCATGGTAATGTACATCTCCACAATCCACCGTTCACTCTAGTGATTTTCTCTCACATATTCCATGTACTTGCAGGTCTCCATGATCACGGTATCTCCTCCCAGTGTAAAATTGTGACCTATGGATACTTTTTTGGGTTCAATAGGTCTAACGCGAACCTGGGTCGGCAGCGATCTGTGGCAGTGAAATACTGGAAATACGAAGCTCGTTAATGTTGCATGTAATAATCCGTTATACCTGTACTTGGTCTACGCTCTTCATTTTGTTACATTCGACAGATATTTCTAAGTGCCTGTGTTGTGGACGTCTCATCGCATTTGTTGGACAGTTTGTCAACCAATCTGGCTCTCTTCATTTGGACGAGTCCACCCTCACCGACGTGGATCGTTCCATGTGTTGTTGTCCTTGCCGTCCCACACCAGTTGGCGAAAAATCACCCCCAAAAGGCTCACCATTGCAGCGATTTCCAGGTTGGCCTCCTGCGTCAGTATCAGGTCGCACTGGTGGACAGTTTCCCTGCCCTGGTCGTGTTGTGCTCTGTCTTTGGCGGATCGTCATGTCTGAGGTGGGTGGATGCTATTCGTGTGATAGGTGCAGCAATATTTTATCACATTATGGAGGTCCTATGTTCCTTCGTTATTTTCTCTATTCTGTAGCACTTCTTTTGTACATTGTGCACAGAATCTCGCAACTACAGGGTTCTTGTGTTCAAGTCCAGTTGGATTGGCAAAAATCACTGAATACTGCCCACTGTCGGTTTACAACAACTTCTCTGCTTCAACACTTGAATTGCTTCATATACAACCCGTTTAGTAGAATACAGTGTGTCTACCTTTGTAAGCGAGAATTTTAGCGTACAGGTGAAGTCAGTGTGTCGGAAAACTGGAAGACATTTTACAACTCCCCTCACTACTTACAGAATGAAAGTAATCTGTTCAGACAGGAGGGTATCCCATGAGCCATGTCTCCCCCTCTGGAGCCGATTAACGCCAGAGAACGTGGATTGAACTGATAGATTTTAGGATAAGTCGTGTTACATACTGCGTGTAAATGATACTACTGATCAACCACTTTAGTTTGAATTGTTTAACTTTTCTCTCAAAAGTGGTAAGACATAATTTTCACACTTGATTAGTCTTAACAAACAGTTGGCAATGCCCATCGGCTGCTCAACATAGATGGACTTCACCTGAGAAGCGAGATCCATGTTCGAAACTTCGAAATATTCTCTGCACCTGCCATATCCAGGAAAAATACGCGTGAATCAGTGTCTCAGTTCGCTCTAGACAAACTTGGTGCTAAGTTGAGGGAGATGGGTGCGAATACCCAGTGTTTCTCAGTGTTCGTCTGTCGTCGCTGGTCGTTGAAGACGGTAGATGTGCTTCTTCGGGCTGTCTTTCGGCATTTCCGACCCGTCATACATTCCCACGAAGTCATAATCGGAGGTGGCGGTTGACCCTCATGACTACGCTTGGTGCGTAGGGATTTTTGTTTTCGATGTTGCTTTACGGGGTGACGAGGTCTCGGATAATTTCCCCAAACCGGACCAGTTTGGTCTCTTTGCGGATGGATTTGTTTATCAGTGATGAACAGTGGCACAACTCCCGAACTACATCAGCTGGTGTCAAAAAATTAAATAAATAAATAAATCGTTCCGCTGCGACTCCCTTGCGGTGCCTAGCTGCGATGCCACCCGAAGGAATCACGAGAACTGCCAGGTTGCCCAAACCCAGACGGGGAAAGTCGAGAGACATAGGTCGGATACGAACCACGAACCTTCCGGTCAGTAAATTCGCGCTCTAACTACTGAGCCATGTCACCCAACTGGTACCAATATGAACTGATATCGGTGCCCGCATGCCCGATTGAATGACATAATAATGAACATAAGTAGTGTTTTTGTGGGATATCTTCTGGTAACTAAGAGTGCAGATAGGACTGACATTTTCGTCACGAAGATCAATATTCACCTATTTTAAGGATCGTCCACTCCACACGAAATTGAGAAACAACCACGCAATCTAAACAGCGTCAAGACTGATGGATTGGGACACACCTTGCAGCTGAACACCAGGACGGTTATCTTTCCTTCAACTCACGACCGAATCTGTGTCTGGGCACCCCACGCTCATCTTACGGCCTGATTTGTTTTTCCCTGTTCTTTGTTTGACGCAATTCTTCCTCTTTCGAATTGTACGCGATGTCCTTTTCTGTTTTCCACCTTCTCAGTTGAATTTATATGAATACAGTCTTGAAACTGTTGTTCTTCATCTTCTCAAAGAGCCTGTCCCGAAATTCGGATTTGGTCAGCTTCATCAGTGGTTTTACGAGATTCCTGGTATGAATCGGTAGGTTGTCATTCATCACCCAGCAATTTGTCTTTGTTGAGCAGTTTGGTTGTTGGTCTGTTCTCCGAGCTTGGTATGTGGATTGCACGCGTTTCATCACTAATCGAGGTGATGTCGTCATTGCGCGTTTGAGTGGGTCACCTCGATTGGTAATGAAACATTTGCAATCAAACTGTCAAGCTTGGCTAACAAACCAACAACTAAGCAGCACACCCGAGCTACCCGTATTCCGCAACTTTGTTGAGCAATGTATGTATCCAAGTCGTTCTTTCTCGGTATTGTATCTAACGTAACTGACCAACACCGAAGTTTATCATCTCAATTGTGAACGATAAGAGATTGATTGAATCTTTAGATCCTTTCCTCAGTAGTAGTAGTATCTGATGGTTTGCGCAGAGTGATCACATTCGCAAACCGCCGCCGCTTATCTAGATCCAGTTAGCTGAGATGAGTGAACGCTTATGCAGAAACCTGTGGAATGTCGTCAACCGTAAGTCAAGAGTAACCTGTTCGCCGGCACCGTCTGTCCTGCCCCATTCCACCTCGAACTGCCAATGTTATCCAGCAGTTTCACCACCTATTCAGTGTCGTTCTCCTGCAACGGAATATTGTACCATGAGCAGATGCTCCACGGTCACCAGTAGATGTAGACTTTAGGAACCTCACTTGGTCTGGTTGTGCAATCGTGGCGTTTGTCGGTGTTATGTCGTGTAATGACCGTAGTTACGGTGGGCGTTGATCGGAGAACGTATAGTTGCTTACTAGTGGACACCAAGCGGTTCAAGAAAACTCAGAGCCTGAAGTACGTGCTTATGCATAGGAGATTTACATTTCGTACGCATTTTCGGCTTTTCCACTGCATCTTTCCAAAGTTGATCCAACTGACAGTAAGTATCCCGGTAGCTGTACACCACAAGTCGATACAATTTGATTTGGACAGGTGGTTACTTCGTTCCCATCGGAAGTCTGGTCCACATATTTGCATCCGCGTGGTTGTGGCCATCCGTAAACACAGCTTAACATCAAGTGCATTTCATCGTTTACTCCACACTTCATTTCCTCCAGTTGGCGGACAGTGGACTATTGGTGTTATCGCTCTCTGGTCAATCATCGCATCATCGAGGCCCTCGATCTAATTGGTCGTACGAGTGAATTCGCTCGCGTATTTGGCATCGAATTCTTTCACGTGTTGTCCAGAGGATCACAAGTACGTGCGCTGTCCATGAATTATCACATAAAGACGTCCACGGCTTTGCTAATCTAAAGACTATTCATCTACCTGATTTTGCTCCAGTATCGAGTTGAATCGTTACTCTGTCGTACCGCGCACGCAGCCAACTTCCTACTTGCCAGTCCTAACGTGACGCAGCGCGCTCGACAGCGAGCTCCGGAGGCAATCCCACTCAACTTGGAACCAGACAGTCGATTATTTGTGGACGGACCTGTGGCTGTGTTGGATTTCCAATCTCTCTACCCTTCCATCATGATCGCGTACAACTACTGTTACTCTACCTGTCTCGGCCGTTTGTCTTCGCTAGAGAAAGAGTAAGTTTTGGTCTCGGTGACGTTGCAGCCACTACTTTTTTCGTTATGCCACGCACTTCACTTATCTGCTTTTATTCTTTCGTCATACCCTAAGGAACTGGGTTTCCTTACACGTTTCGAAGGCAAATCTTTTATGTTAGGGTACTTTTTGTCTCTGTTAGCAAGATGAGTTGGACTAGGCCCAGTACAGCATTACCCTTTGCATTGATGCTTCTTTTGTATCATTGTTGCTTATAAGGCAAAAAAACAAGTTTTCCTGATGGCGCGTAGTCAATCACATGAAAGCACTACTTACTTGCTATAACTTTTCAAGATGGCTTTGCCGCTATCTGTATCTCTCGAACGTAAGCAGCTGTGAATGTGCTGTTCGGAAGCGCTTAGCTTATTAGCGTCGTGATCCTAAGAAATGGGGAATCGTCTGCCAAGGGAACTTCGCAGATGTGCAGATGCCTGGTGCTGAGTGGCGTATTGTTAGTATTCGGTAAGGGATTCCTCAGACGGGGGACAAATGAAAGTTTCGGTGGGTGTGATGAATTCTAAAGAGACCCCAACCAACCGACTCTTCAAATCAACCATCTTTTACTCAGTGAGAGATAATAAGAACTCACCCCTGAAGTGAGACTGGTGACAATTGAGCTATGGGACCCATCACGAAAAGCTCCTTCATTGAATCAAAACAATAGATTTTCTATTGCGTCACTGAAGAATTTGTCAAACACAGCTGATTCAGAAAAATTCTGCGAAATTTGTACGGCCTGACGGATGAATGATGTAAGAAACAATGTGAAACACAACTCGTTGTCCTCACAAACATTTCTTTGAACTACTCAAGCAAGTCTTCACATCCGAAACCCAATGCCTTCAATTACTTCAAGGCATCCTGACCAGTCAAAAGCCCATCAAAGCTGAAGATATACTAGCTGTATTGATGGCTCACTTCCACACACTGCTCATCAGCCCATTAGAGGTTGAATAGGATCAACTTACTCAAGTAATCATCATCGTCATCATCCTTGTCAGCTGTAAGAATCGCTTAATTGTCGTGTAGTGTTTTTGTAGCTGCCACAGTTTCGTTCACCGATGATTCGTGGAGGTGGGGTAGGTAGCTGCGCATTGGAGGCGGGAGCTGATAAATTATTGCGTAAATACAGCACTGTCAGTGGACTTTTAAGTGGGGAAATCGGGAAGGGAGCAATGGATTGAAGGCAATAGCTTGAATGCAAGAGCGCCATTGAGGGCGCGACTGGGTCATGTTTGACAATGTCTCCAACCATTGAAGTGGCCCGTCTCGGGGTTCCCATCCCGGAAGACGGCAATGATCAGTTCAGCTGAGTTTGCTGGCAATGGCTTTTATACTTCGCCGCCAAGACATTGTTTACCTAAGAACATAAACAAGATTCATCTGGGTTCAACCGAATGAGTGTATTTTTATAATTTTGTGTAATTTGGATTCAAGTGGAACATAAGGCTGACAGAAACTTGTTGACTGCGCCTATCCGAAGAGCCACAAGAAGGGTGAAACCGGTCATAGGCTGTCGAAGCGTCTTCAGCAACCTTACGTTTATAGTTGTCGCTACTTAACCCGTTCCAAATTCGAAGCTGAGAATATCGCACAAGACAGTCAGGCTGTCACAGTGTTGCGTACTTTCAAGGCCAAACCCTCTTCAAACGCTGCTGTCGTGTACACGATGATAACTTTGTCCAGTCAGTCAAATGATCATGCCTCCGGTGTTGGTGGTACCGCATGTTTGCAATGATAAACCATAGTGACCGGTTGTAGCTGTGTTGTAAAAGCCACGACGTTGATAATCTGCAGCATAATTCGCCCTCTAATCAGTCATCCAGGTTACACTGTTTCTTCACACGGCTCTGCAATGTAGCCATGGGCTACTGTTGAAGGCATTGCTTTCATCACACCATGCTTTCTGGTTCTTCCGTTACAGCACGCGAGATCTCTTCGAGTTTGGCTGTTTGACTCACTCCGTGTCGGCCGGACTTCTTCAAGTGAGTTTGTACTTTTCTGCTACCGTGTTACGCCAAATATTCCGTGTCTGTAGTATTCCGTGTAACTCCGTTTTCTTGAGTCTGTTGATTATCTCAAAGCGTCGTCAAAGTGCCTGCTTTACCCCAAACACTCTACAACCGGATTCTTCCGGAATTAGCGAATATGTTCAATTTCTGCTCTGTTATTTTGTCGTTGACTCTGTCGCTAACGGCAGAAGATGAATGATCACCTTTATTGCACACCATGTATCGGGGCGTCACCATGGTGAATTGTCGTTCCTCCAGCTTGCTCTTCAGAGAAAAATGAAACGCTTCATGCATGGTTTCTCCGTAACCGAAAAAGTTCATCTCAAATCATGGAATGTCCTCCCTTACTGTGATTCTGGCTGCCTTATGCCTTGTGCTACAATTTTGCAACCCCTCTGCTTGTCCTTAGCTTGCTGTTTTGCTGCCAAAATTTACCGTAGCTTCATGGAGCCTTTTGTAGATACAGTACAACCGTATTTGTACAGTAATCACAGCATTCTCCCCAGAGTTATCGTACGATCTTCGT